AACCACAAAAAAAAAAAAAAACAAAAAACCAAAACAACCAACCAAAAAAAGACAGAATCAAAACTAAAGCCAAACATGGTGGGTGAACAAAAGAAATCACAAACTTAAAATTCAGCAACTCCAGCTCTTCGAACCAACGAAGCCCCGGACTTGGCCACCGTTCCGAGACGCAGGGTGGTGCTTCCCTGCTTCTTGCATGCCAGCATCAGCACCGCTTCCCCGTCAAGGTGAGGAGTAAAGCAGCAAGTGACCCCCTTTTTCACTGCCACCAAAGGGGGGGGCCACGGCAAGACAATCAACTAGATTCCTTCCGATCTGGTACAAGAGGCTGGTCAAGGCCAAAGTGTCGCTTCTCCCTGCTTCTTGCTCAAGACCCACAACTATGAGATCAAGCAGTGAGCAGCAGCAGCAGCACGGAACCCCTCCGCTGCAAACAAAGGGGGTCACAACGTTTGTCGTCAATTCACTTCCAGGCAGAAAAACCAACTTTTCCTCAAAAGAAACAATTTATTTAGAATGAAACAAAATCAGCTCAACTGTGAGCGCATGTTTTGAGTGACAGCTACTTTTAAGCTGTGTGAGCCATAAAAAGGGTATTCCTTTACTTTTCCAGCAATCTTGTGTACACAGCACAAAGCAAAGAGGTCATTTTTTTTTCCACTTAAAACACGGGCATTGGCATCACAATAGCAGATACACAACTTTTTTTTTTAAAGCTGCCATTTTAGTAAAATGCACAAATACTAAACAGATAAGCTTTCTTCCATCAAGAGGCCCATGTAAATTCCACATAAGCCACAGCTTCTCTTCCCAAAGGTCCATTAGAGCTTGGTATCCCATGCGGTTGTCGTCTGCAGTCCACCAGCTTTTGCTTTGCAGGAGGAAAGAAAATGTTATTTCAATACAAATGTATACAACAGATTTGTTTCTTTTCTCTTTTTTTTCCCCCTCCCTACATTATACAGATGAATATAAAGAGCTGTGAGGCCTTTCTGAATATTCTACTTGGACTTCAAAAAGCACCAATTCCACCCGTGGGCACAAAACCTTGAAATGAAGTCACCCTCTATGTATAGATGCAGAACCAGTAGTGCAGGGCTTCTTTTTGGACCAAGGTTTAAACTAGGCTTACAGTACTGATGATTATTCAACTTGCAGTAACAGTTACTGGGACACATGAAAATACTTAACCCGGAGAAAAACCAACGGAATTGGGGATAATTCAGTTGACTTTCCTCAAAAGAACAATTCCTGAAGGCAACTTAGCAACAGAAATATGAAATGTAGTGTTTCCATGTTTCTTTTGTTCTCGTTTTGCTGTGGAATTCTAACAGCAGACAACTCCGATATGAAAGAAAAGGTCAAATCAAAGACACACCTAATAGAATTTAAAAGTACTATCCAGGTAGTATTTCTCAGCCATCATTTTCACACAATCGAAACTGCAGGAAGTTGAATATTCCATGAACCATCCTCCAAACCCTAGGGTCTGCTTTAAGCCTAATGCAAAAAATCATCCCAATCGCTCCGTTTATAACTCAGTGGAATATCTGTCCTTTGGTGCTATCTGCACAAAGTAATAAAGGGGGAAACAAAAGGGAAAGAACCCCAAAAGCTCTATTAGTCACACGGCAAGAACTTTTACCACTTCAACAGGCACACAGCAGACTCCCCAGGAGTACTGCCCTCAACACTGGTTTTCTTAAAGGCAGGAACTATGATTTCCCAAGCCATTTTTTCCCTGAGTCCTCAGAAGTTTTGGGCCTGTCTTCACAATTTTGAGTCACTCCTCCCCATCAATACTTTAAGGCCTTTCACTTCAGTTACCATCAACCAGATGGTTCCTCAACCAATGCAAGACATTGAGAGCTCTCTTCTCTGCTCACCAGTCACCAAAACACTTCAATCCTTTAACATCCTCATTGATAAAGTAAGAGAGAGAGTAAGGTTTGTGTGCCTGGCATGTGACACCCTTCTCTCTACAATGCTATTTGTAACCCAGAAGCCTGAAACCTCTGGAGTTGAGGGTAACATCAGTGTTCACGCCGCAGTCCCAGAGAACAGCAGACTGCACACGAGACAGGAGCAAACAAAGCCACTGGTCGGCAGCCAAGGAAGTTGCATAAAGTTCCCAATGCAAAATAAACCCCCTGATAATAAAACCTTAAACAAAAGTATGAGTCATTTGAGGTTCTTTCCCCAAAGCATAAAGCCAAAACTATGAAATGATTCAGGAAAAGGACATCCTTTTTCCAAGCTAATTCAACAAACGCATGGAATAGAGGAACAGCAGCTGCACACAATGGTGGAAGAAACACTGAGCTCTCTGCTAAGAGCAATGTAAATGCTGAACACAACCAGAGAGCTGAAGTCTGCTACATCTGTTTTGCTCTATACACAAGTGGTATTTCACTTCTACTTCTGTTCAGCCCTGGCCAAGCCAATGTTAAGTGGACAGTTACTCCAATGGTGCACACTTCAGAGCCTAAGAGAAAAGCACAGCCAACCAAGCTGCACCAGCCTTGATGGCAGCACGTCAACTTCAGTGCTGGCACAACAAAATGTTGCCAGTCAACTAGGTTTTGACATTTAAGAACCCTCAAAGGGTGTTAAAATCCTTGCTTTCAAAACAGAGCAGCAACCACAAATAAACCAGATTTAAAGAAGCAGGTACTCCATAAGGAACCAGAAAACCTGGAGTCAAATGCAGCCTCGCCTGGTCCTTATTACCCTCCAGCACAGCCCAATTTGAACTCATGAAAGCCCATGGCAGGTACAACCACCTCTATTTTACAAGGAAAAAGGGAAGTGCACCTAGGATGCTCTTTCCAAAAGGTTTCCCACACTGAGTTTGCTTTGACAAGCCATGTTGACCCCAAGTTTTACGGGTTTTAAAAACAGGTGCCTGCTGCATATCAGCATAACAAACACTGTCCTTAGCAAGGGTAAGTGTTGAACACAAACAACATTAGTGCTTCTTTTATACGTTTTTGGTTTGGGGCAGATTTGAATTCCCAGCAGTTCAAGTTTCTTGGCTTTAAAACTCCACGCCTACAAGTGACTTGGGTCAGATGCAATGAGAAAACTCACTCAGCACCTCGAGCGAGCTCGCAGCAGTGTTGAGAACCCGCTGGCACACAACAGGCACCTGCTAGAATTAAACCAGACATTGTTTGCAACGAGTTGTATCTTCTACAACAGAGCATTATCTGAGTTACCGGTGTCATTCTGATAAACTCTCATTGTTAATAGTAAGATGAACAGCTGAATTCTGCCACTGATTTACATTCATGCTGAAGGACAACCCAGAAATCCTGGTGTTTACCCTCAAGCATTTAAGAGCATTAAATGAGGCTTCTGTGTTACCATATAGAAAGAAAAGTAGCTACAAAATCAAAATCTATTCTCAAGATACGCTGCCACGTGCAAGTTCTCAGTCAGATAAGGGAAACTGAAGCCCACTTAAACCAAAGCACTCTCTGACGAGTGGTTCAGTAAAGCTTATCACAGAAATTCATCTTCTTGTGACAGTGAGTATCAAGCAAGTACAGTCACACTTCATGTCGTGCCCATAAAATACATTCAAGACATTTGCTCCTTCATCTATTTGCACTATTCTGCATTTTGAACTCGAGTTTTGTGGTGCAAGTTGAAACAGAAATCAACTTGTCCCTGTACCAACTACCCAAGGAATACATCAGAGGATGGACCGAGTGAAGCAGCATCACTTTTACACCGCCCAAGTCTCTGAAAACATGGCTAAGTGCAAGGCTACATTCTGGGTTTAAGTGCAAGATTACAATTTGGGGGCTTGTAAATAGATTTATGCTGCAGTTTGGAAGCCAGCTGCAACATCCCCTCAGTTGTTAAACAAAACAACAGGGATTTTAGATCCCTTCTTCACGCCTGCATTAGAGTGGCCAAGGCAGCTGAAGAAAAGTGCCCAATAAGTGGGGGAAAGCATAAGAGAAAGTGAACTAAGTTCTTCAGAAAAAGATAAGCAAACCGTTTCCTCCTAGAATCACAAGAACGAAAGATCAAACCTCAGCATCTCTGAGTATTTCAATACTTCTCCAAGATGCTAAACCCCACTTTACTCCAGATGCCTATAAAATACTAAAACCTCATGTAATGCCCACTGTACTGTACCTGAAAAGTCCCCAGCAGACAGCAGTTCCTTGCTATTAACAACGAGGTAAAATGTTAATGAGAACTTTCCTGTAATTAACTTAACACAGAATTAAAACCATCTCTGGAGAGAAGCACACTTGCTCAGAGTTTGCACTGTGGAACCAGACCCCGCTGTACCTGCAACTCTTTGAAAAGGGGAAACAAAAGGCAGTAAAACCCCAAACCCCACAATATAACTCAAGTTATTTCTTAAAGCACCTCCTTGTTTCTTGCATATCAGAGGAAGCACAAGACATTCACGGTTTGTAACAAAGTCCTCAGCTCTTTACCAACCATTGCCACTGCTACAAACCCAAAGTGCATTTATGGGATACAACAGAACTGAGGGCAACAGGAGGAATACACCTTGTTAAAAAAGCATACTTTCAGTGCATGCATTTGGAGGGGCTGGATGAGATTCTCACACACCCAATAAAGAGGAATTCAATGTTCTGCAGTGTACCCGAGAGCAGGTGCTGCTCCCCTGGAGGACATCAACCTGGAGCCATGCAACTCAAAGGGAAAACCACTCAGGAAAGGGATCGCGCGCGCGCCCCACGGCGCCGCTGGACCTGAGGCCACTATGGAATTTCAAGGACTCCAAAACAAAAACATGACACCAGTCTGTTAGTAAAGACGTGGGGTTTTCCATTTCAACCGAGTGCTTTAAATCTGGTCTTTGAGGTTTGGAACTCTGAGGATGAGCTTTTAAAATACATGAAATGAAAAAAGGACACGAATCGAAATTAAGAAGACGGGAGTTTGGGTCTTTCCACCCCCACTTTTCTTTCTCTCTCTCTTGTATTTTTTTCTCCTTTTTTATGTTTTTTTTGTAAATCAAAGCAGGCCGAGCCTCCCTGCTGTCCCCACCGCCAGGGGATTCCCGAAATATCCTATTCTTGCTAACGGCTATCCAACCTTTCTGGCTTCTAACTTTATAGAAACAAAAAACAGTAACAGAAAAACGGGCAGGGAAAAAAAAAAGTCACCTACAAACCAAGGTCTAATTTAAAATAACAACAGGGCTGGCTAAGGCTGTATCCCATAGCACCTGGCACACGCTGGAAGGGGTCTGGGTGGAAGAGGCAGGGTTGGGTACAGAGAACAACGAGGGCCTTAGGATGCCCCGCGGACAATGATCATGACCAGATAGTCGTCCTCTGATTTGGCCAGCGCCTTGGCCGTGGAGTCCAGGAATTGCTGGGAGAAATCGCACGGTGGAAACGCGTGCAGGACCCCGCTGTTCTCCTTGTCTTTGTTACCCCCCACAGGGAGGCTGATCACCCCAGCAGCCTGCTTTTGCTTTAGATAGGACACCAGATTCCTGAGTGGCCTCTGGGTGGAGGTGGTGGCGGCCTCGCTAGCTCCGGCTGCGGAGCGGTTGTCTGATGCGCCAGGCACAGCCAATTTTGGGACCCGCCACTTTGATGCGGCGATTGACCTCGTCCAGCTTGGGCTGGTCCAGGCGAAGACGTTGGGTGATCTTGAGCTGAGCTACTTTCCCACCAGTCGCTCCCTCCACGAGGAGGCTGCTGGCAACACCGAGGTCCCCCTGAAGCAGATGCATGTTGGACGGGCTCCCTTCCTCCGTTCCTTCCTTCCTTCCTTCCTTCCTCCCTCCCTTCCTTCTTGTCCCTGCCCGCCCCGTCCTGCTGCTTCTTCTGAGGAGGAGGCTTGAGGCGGGAGCCTCCACCACCTCCTTCCAGAGCACGTTCATCCTTTTTGGCTGGACTTTTGCCCTCCGGCGCGGCGGCTGCCGCGGAAGCGCGATGTTTCCGCTCCCGTTCAGCGGAATTCTTGCGGTCGCGCTTTTCGTTCTGCCCCCGCTCCAGGCTGCCCCTGCGAGATTCCCGGACAGGAGAAGGCCGCTCCAAGAGGAGCAAGCGGGAGGAGGAGCGCTCGGGGTCACTACTGTAACGCTCCCTCCCTCCAAGGAGCTCGGGGCTGCGGTCCGGAGGGGAGGTTGTGGTTAAACAGTGACGCTTACGGGAGGAAGAAGAGCGCTCACTGTCTGGAGAGCGGTCCAAGTGCCGGCCTCCATCCTCCGCCAGTCTCCGT